GGTGCCGAGAATAAAGTGTGGGACGAACTGAGAGTGTTGAGGAAAAAACGAGGCAAGAGAGGCGTTGTTGGGGTCCTTGGTATGATTAGCATTATTATCTCTTTTCAGAAGCCTTTTCTTTTGATGCTTTAAGTTATTCATGTTTTGCTCATCGTGTTCCTTCTTATGGTCCTTACCTTTAGTTGTGCTTGTTTGTAACATGTTGTATTCATGCTTGTTAAAAAAGTGCTGATGCATGTCCGTCTCATAATCAGATAATTTTGCAGCATGATTAATTTGAGATATTCGGTCCTTTTCACGCATCGATTGTCATATTTTTGATGCTTATGATTTTGAAGGCTGTATGGCGGAACGTGTGAGGCATAATCTGCTGGCTTACACCGATAATGTGGACGTGGTGGCTGGACCGGACTCCTACCGTGACTTACCGCGACTGTTAGCTGTGGCTCGTCACGGCAGCATGGCGATAAATGTACAGCTATCGTTAGATGAGACTTATGCTGATATACCCCCCGTTCGGGCAGATCGTTCATCCAGAACAGCTTTTGTGTATGTTCCGCTCACTTTGTATATTCTTTTCTAGAACTATGATAACTTACTTTCATTGCAAAGCATGCTTTTCACTGAAATTGCAACTTTTTTTTTCTCTGGGTAATGTATGACTGCGCGATTATTTTTGCAATTGAATCAACATAGAGCTTGGTGCGCTTGAATTAAAATATAGTTAGCTAGTGTATAACTTATACCGAACTAATGATTCCTCAAGTATCTCTTTGTGCAATTCTGTCGATTCCTCTGCTGAAATGCACTGAAAAATATTCATAGAAACGAATTTGTTGAAGGTAACCCTGTAGAATTTTTCAAAAGCGCCTCGTCTGGGATGCAGGGACGAAAGTAGTAAGGACAAGAAGCGTAACTAAATGAATATTAATCAAAAGCTTCACCTACCTCTTCCATGCTGTACATATCACATACAAGCGCTTTTTAGGTCTATAATGCGCGGCTGTGATAATATGTGTACCTACTGTGTCGTGCCGTTCACTCGTGGACG